CCCCTCCTTGGGTTTCCGAGGCAGTATCACTATGGAAGTAGGATTGCCCAACCTTCCTTCCGAGGAGTGGCTGGTGGGTTTGAACCACCAGCCGTCAGGTTAGCAGGCAAGTGCTTTAGCCACTATGCTACCAGAGCTCCTATTTTTATTATTTTTCATAAAGTGTCTAATTATAACTAAGTCAACATACACATTTAGAAAACCAATAAAAGGTTTTTAAGTATGTTTAAAAGTAGAAGACAGCTTACCTAACCTTAAAACAAACTAACAAAAAAAACCCCTGTATTATCCTGGGAATCAATAACTGTGCAATCAGCTTTTAAATGAAATGAAACCAGTTTGATTAAACTGTCATGTTAAACAAAACAAAACACTCTGAATTCTCTGGATTTCCTACTTCCAATTTCAAGCTTCGAATGACCTGTTAAAAAGATGACAGCACTAAGTAACAGTTTAGGGTAGAAAGAAGTTACTTAAAGAAAAAAATGGGGCTATTTAAGTATTTCTATTTCAAATAATTCCCTTTAAAAGTGTTATATTCACTTGAACAACGTTATAGAGTTGATTTCACTCCCAAATTTTATTCTAGTGTACAAATATACACAATTTTAAGCAGCATGTGCTACTACTGTATTATGCATTCTTAATGTATAAAACATTTTAATGTATGAATAAAAAAAAAAAAAAGAAAGTCCCTACATCAACCCTGAAACCTGCCACTCAGGATGTTTCTTACTTTTAGTAACCTTTAAATTTAGACTAAGGCTGTGGTCCAGCCTGCTTCATTGTATTATTTGTCTTTTTAAACTGTTTTCTATTTTAACTGCAGCTGTCTCTGAGTAGTGCTTTATCTTTGCCTTATTACTGAGCAATTTTTCAGGTTATTTATCCTGTTTACTTGCCTCTCCTTCTATCTTTCACTGTTAAATGAGGAACCGGAAACAGAAGCTACCAGAAAGTAGAAATGCTAAGACCCAGTCTTCTCCTGTCCAGCCAGTCCAGTAGTGCTGCCTGCACAAAGCATTTGAGAATTCTTCTGGAATTTATTAATTTTGAAGGCAATTTAAAGAACTCTCAAGAAAATAAACACTTGACTTCATTTTCATGTTTCCTTCTTAAATCAGTTTGATTACAAAAGATCAAGCAGTCTCTGTTCTAAATGATTGTGACCACTGCAACATACTAAAAGACATTGTTGTTAGTTGCCGTTGAATCAATTCTGACTCATGGCGGCCCCATGTGTGTCGGAGTAGACCTGTTCTCCATAGAGTTTTCAAGGCTGTGACCTTTCTGTAGTTGACTGCATGGCCTGTCTTCTAAGGTGTGTCTGGGTGAGTGTGAACTGCCAACATTTTGGTTAGTAGTAGAGCACTTAATCACTTATACCACCCAGGGACATAAAGAAAAAAAAAAGAACTACCCTAAAATGTAAGTTTGAGGACAGAATTGTGTCATAGTCAGCATTATCCTTTTAGCACCTAGCTCAGTGCCTGGCATCTAGTAAAGGTTTAAAAATTGTTAATTCCAAGATATGAATTAATTAGAAAAAATAAAGGAATGAATAAATGCTCTAAGAATGATCTCAAAACAGCACTTTTAAACAAAGGCAGGTTCAGTCAAACAAGCACTTAGTCTCCAAAGGTGACTGGTCTGAAGGAGATAACACATGGTAAAATGTTTAGTTTAAAATTCCATCACATGAAAGATAGGATACTAAACTGTATCTGGAATACACACATATTTGTAAAACAGATACACACACATACATATTATACATATACACAAATACGTTTTTAAATTTTAGTTAAGTTTTGAAAAATATTTGTAAAACAGACAATTTTTTTTTAATAAGAAGGAATATACCACAATATTAATAGCAACTATTAGTTCAGTAGAATTCTCATCTTTCATGTGAGAGACTAGAGTTCAGTTCCCAGTCAATCATCTCATACACAGCCACCATGTATCTGTCAGTGAAGGCTTGCCTGTTGCTACAAGGCTGAACAAATTTTGGCAGAGCATCCAGACTAAGGCACAGTAGGAAGAAAGGACTGGCAATCTACTTCCAGAAATCAGTCAGTGAAAACCCTATGAATCACAACGGTCTGCTCTATAACTAAGCATGAGGATGGCATAGGACAGGGCAGCATTTTGGTCCATTGTGCATGGAGTCACCATGAGTGTGTGTGGGGTGACTCAATAGCAGCTAACAAAATTTAAGGAATAAATTGTAAGCAATTTCAGTCATGTTTTATATTACAAATCAGCAAACTTATCTGTAAAGGGCCAGGTAGTAAACATTTTCAGTTTTCCAAGGTATACAGTCCCCATCATAACTAGTCAACTCTGTGATACTAGCAGGAGAGCAGCCGTAGACAATACACAAAAAGAGAGTGTGACTATGTTCCAAAAAAAACTTTATTTATAAAAACAAGGAGCAAGGATGAATTTAAAGCCTGTGGATAGCAATATGCCAAGCCCCACTTTATATCCAACAACATATAAAAAGGGGCCAGACAGAACAAAAGCCACAGAAAGATTTGAGCACACACTATAGTTTGTAGTATATACATCCAGGTCTTGTAATAAAACCCTTCAGTAATCTAATCTGGCACAATGTGCTTCATTCAAATCCATGACAGAAAAAACTCCATGAGCTTTAAGGGATCAAGCCTGACATCTTGTGGTCACATTAAAGAACAGTCTTCATGGTCTGGATTCCCTTTTAAGAAGGGTAAAAGGTACACAACTCTCAGGAATCATCTTTAAAGGATTTGCTAAGGTTGTGGGTGCCACAGTGATGCTACCAGCCAGTAAGACAACAGTAACGAGTATGCTCAACTATCTGAAGCCTCAACTTGCTAAATTCTTCCAGTGAAATGCTGAACAAAAGAATGAGCTGTTACAAGCCTTAAAACTTATTAAGCCAATCTTCAGAAGGTTAATTGGAAAGCAACAATGGTAAAGCAAGAATACCTGAAATGCCTGCACTCAAATTTTGAAACTGAAAACTTATTTCTAACCCAAGTCTTTCAAAGGCAAGATATTTCCAAAACCCCCACTGACTTACTAAATCAACCCAAATTCTAAAACTAGGTCATGGAGAAATACATGATAGCAATCCATACAACTCACTTGTCCACACACTCCCACTCTGTTACTGAACAAGGATGAGGCACCTGTGTAGTCAATCATGTGCTAACAGCCGAGGAGATAAAAATCAAGGAGACATAACCCCAGTCCCAGGAAACAAACACAGAAGAAAGAGACACAAGCCAAGAAGCATAGTACAATATGTTTAGGGCCATGGGAAAGCATGTTTGCAGGGTTTTGAAGGGAAGAGAGGAAGCTCTGCAGGGTCTTAGGAAGGCTTTTTAGGGCAGGTAGCATTCAAGCTGCCTCTTTTAGAACAAGCACAAGGGAGCCAGGGAGAGAGGGGAGAAGAGGAGTAAACAGGAAGAACAGCAGATCGGGTCAGGCAGGCGGTTCCACTGCTGGGCTCATGTTCAGACCTGAGATGGAAGGAACCCAGGAGACGAATAGACAGGACAAGAGCTGTGGGTACATTCCACTCTGGGCATCCCAAGCCATGTCCTGTCTCACACGGTAGGGAAAGCAACACCAGGTGGCTTGGGGGTATGGTGATGTTTGCAGGGTAGAAATCAGAGTCTGAGCATGTTGTGAGTCCCAGCTCTGTGCCCATCTATCTCTTTCGAAGCCAAGGGACAGTGGCTTCTCCAAAATGACAAACACTAACAGTATTGTAAAGCTTTTCATATGGTGACAGGTAGATTTCCAGAAAAGCAGACATTCAAAGAGACAGAAAGTTCCCTGCCCCTTTTGAGAGTCCAATGGGAGCTTCACACTCAGAAATCAGAGCATCTCATAAACACAGTTCACATTACTGGGCACACCCAGGCCTGTCACCTACGTATACAAGCACATGTTAAAATCTCCTGGGTTTTTGGCTAACCCGAACTCAGATGTGCTCACGGCACCATGCATTGATACCTGGGTTGCTGGTGAGAAAGGTGAGGGGGCTCTCGCTGAGGTCCAAAGGGCCGTCCACGCGGTGGGGCGGGCTCTCCAGCAGCTCCGCTCCTCCCTCCAGCTCAGGGTAGGTCCTCACCAGGAGGCCCAGTGATGGCTGTGTGAGGAAATCTTTCAGCACAGATGAGGTCAGGGTGCCAGCAGCACGATTATTGATCTCAAGAATCTCATCTCCCGCTTTCAGGCCTGTCAAAACAAGACGGAAATCTTTTCATTTCAAGAAAAGAAAGGAAAGCAAAAAAGCACCATCAAATCAGATCGTAACGCCTTAGAAGTTCTGCTGCAAAGAGCACACCAGCTCACCTGCTCCTGGCCTCACAGCCCCAGGTGCTGCAAACAGAGGCTGTGGTGCTCAAAAGTGACTATTAAGTGACAACATGGGCCTTGGTTTCAGAAGGTTCTAGACTAGCCATGTCACAGCATGCCTATCTTGTCCTGAATGCAATGACCAAATGAAGCCACATCTTCTTTCATATATGTGTTCTAAGTATCTGGCAGTTTCTCTTCACAAATGCTTTCAGCCATTCTCCTACAGTTTTGACGGAGAAAAGAAGGAAACACTTTGATTGTGGCAATGAACGTGTGGCACAGCCTAGCGTCTATTGGTCATGTCTAAAACACAGAGAAACACACTGCTGTGGAGCTGGATCCGACTCATAGCGACCTGTCCTTGGGTTTCCGAGGCAGTGGCTGGTGGGCTTGAACTGCCAGCCTTCTGGTCAGCAATCTAATGCCTTAGGGACTACGCCACCAGTCTAGGGGACCAAAATGCCAGAGTTTCTACTCACTACAACTAAAGCAGTAAGCACATCTTATTCCAAACACATTTACAGACCACAGTTTTCAGAACCCAATGCTGTTGTCTTTTTGCCCTTTGTTTTACTACATCGCGGCTGTGGGGTGAATAGGTTTCTGTAGGTCCTCAAAGGCTCGCCTACTTAAAGGCATGCTGGGGGAGTTGTCACAATGATGTAAAAGAATAAACAGGAACAAGGCCAGCTTAGAAGAACAAAAGGTTGTGACTACCCCATGGGCCAGTTCAAACCGGTATTAAAAGAAAATTCCAGCAGTTTGAGAAAAGGGAGAGGTCAGGGAACAAAAAGAAAGGAAATACAGTATTCTTTTGGCTAAGAAAGGAGTCCCAATTTTGGTGAGTCACACGCCCTGGCCACTCTTTACTCAGGTTTCTAAAATACTTGAAATCAATTTTCTATTATAAAATACTCCAAGAAACATTATGGGTGGGAAGAAAATGGAAGAAAAACAAGAACATTTTTCTCCGTAACAAGAAAGTGAAATTACTGAATTCTGGAGAGTTGATCATCCCATATTTAGGTATAGGATTTTGCCATCAGAGCATGTGAAGTGAAAATACAAAATTTCCACCTGTGAAAAGCAGATTCCCCCCCACACCCAAGATAATTCTTTTGGTTGGATAGTAGAAAAAAGACAAACAGAATACTTAAAAACTAAAAACATCTCTGAGCTCTTTTCAAAAGAAGTTCCAGGTTTACTATTAATTGGGGAAATAGGGGGGCACAATAGGTTGAATGGTGACCCCCAGAAAGATATATCCACATCCCAGAACCTGGGAACGTGGCCTTATTTGGAAAAAGGGTCTTTGCAGATGTACTTAAAGACCATGAGATGAGGTCATCCTACATTATCTAGGTAGGCCCTAAATTCAAGGACAAAAAAGAAACACAGATAAGGACACCATAGAAGAGGACAGGATGCAGGGACATGGAGGCAGGAATTGGTATGCAGACCCAAGCCAAGGGAAAGAAACATGAAGCAACCAGTCAATGGAAGAGACAAGGAAGGACTCTCTCACTAGAACCTGTGGAAGGAATATGACCTGGCCGATACTTTGATTTTGGACTTCTGGCCTGCAGAATCATAAAATAAAAAATTTCTGTTGTTTTCAGCCACCCAATATGGGCTAACTTATTATGGCAGAAATAGGGAACAAATGTAGGGAGACCTCAATTAGTGATTCTCAGTATTAATAAGCGAGAGGAAGTGGGCCAGCAATGCCGAACAGCAAAGCTCCTCAGCAGGGTCTCCCTGTCTCAGCTTCACAACTGTTATGGATTGAATTGTATCCCCCAAAAATGATATTTTGTAGCCCTAATCCCTGTGCTTGTGAATGTGACCCTGTTTTGGGAAACAGGATTTAACAGTTAGGTTTCTGTCTCTTGGTTTTAAATTATTAGCTAAATGAAACAAGATCATATTGGAGTAGGGTAGGTCCTAATCAGAATGCCTGCTGAGTGGCATCTTATAATAGAGAAAGACAAACACAAAAACAGTCATACATAAGAGGAATGACAAATGGAGGCAAATGCAGCTACAATCAGCAAAGGAATGCCAAGGGTGGCTTGGGAGGTGAGGTACAATTCCTTTCTCAAAGCCCTGAGAAGGATTCCACCTGGCTGCTACCCTGAATTTGAGCTTCAGTCAAGCCTCCAGAACTTTGAGGAAACTTCTGTTCTTTACAGCTGCCCACTTTGTGATACCTTGTTTTAGCCACCCTAGGACACCAACGCTGCCGTGTAAGAGCTCCACGACCACGGGCATGTGACTGAATCTCCCTAAGCCTCAGTTTCCTCAGGGTTACATAAGATTAAATAAAAGAATCCACATAAAACTCTCAGCATAGCACCTGACACACTGAAAATATTCAGTAAACATTTAACTCTCACTGCTGTGGAATCGTTCCCAACTCACAGTGACTCCGCCCCTTGGATTTCTGAGGTGGTATCTCTATGGAAGCAGAATGCCCAGTCTTCCTTCTGAGGAGTGGCTGGTGGGTTTTAACTGCCTGCCTTCTGGTTAGCAGTAAAATGCCTTAGGCACTTATTAGTGCTTATTATTAAATTTGGGAGAAGAAAGAAGAAAACTTTTTTTCAAAGACAGACCACACTCAGAATGATCTCTGACTTAACCATGGTCAATGTTATAAAGTAGGTAAAAGTTGTTGTATGAATTCCTTGCACTCAAGAATAACCTTTTCCTTCCCATTTGAGAAGCCTTTTATCTTTGTGGTCTTGTCTTCTTGCCAAATCAATGGGACATCCATTCCTAAAGAACTGATCTAACCAAATGGAAATGAGAAGAACATAAACAGGGTTTGGGGGCGAGGTTATTTGGGGCCTCTTGGCTACTATGTTAAGGGACCAACTCATCAGTTCAATAGTCATAAGGCTATTTGAATAAGTCTAAACTTTCCCCACTTCAGATTAATCCTCACATTCACTCTGGAGACTGGCTGAAGGGCCTCATTTTCACACCTGGAAAAATACTATGTCTTGGTAGCGAAGGCAGTGGCAGAGAGATAACAGATTATCTCCCTTCAAACTACTGAACTGGCAATGGAGTCAAACAAAAATTTAATACCAAAATATAGAAACAGGAAACCATTTGGGATCTCTTGGCATAACTCTCACACTGAAATAGACCATCAAGGAAGAGGAAAGGAAAGAAGGGCTACATGAGAGTTATGAGATGAGGTAAGAAAGCAGATGGAAACAAGATTATGCAAGGCCTGTTATATGGGGTAGTGCCCAAGGCATCTGAATGCTAACCAGAAGGCTGGCGGTTCAAACCCACAAGCCACTCCTCAGAAGGAAGGTTGGACAATCTACTTTTGTAGTGATACTGCCTCAGAAACCCAAGGAGGGGTCACTATGAGTCAGGTCTGACTCGAAAGCATTGCATATTATCCACAGTAGGTCGGCAGGTGGTACACATGGTTTGAGCTCCGCTACTATGCTAAAAGCTGGTGGTTCAAGTCCAGCCAGAAGCACCATAGAAGAAAGGTCTACTGATCTCCTTCTTTAAGACTACAGCCATTTAAAAGCCTATGGAGCACAGTTCTACTCTGACTACATAAGGCTGGCCTAAGTCGGAATCAACCTGAAGGCACAATTTGTTGTTATCGCTTTTTTTTTTTCCCCCCAATCATCCACAGTGAATGACATAGAGTAGATTTTAAATCAGGGTTATTCAACCTTAGCACTACAGATATTTTGGGCTGGATAATTCTTTGGTGAGGGAGGTATTATCTGTACTGTGGGATGTATAGCAGTATCCTTGGCCTCTAACCACAAGATGCCAGTAGGATATCCCAGTCATGACAATAAAAGTGTCCCCAGACATTGCCTAATGATCCCAGGGAAGTGGGGATAAAATGGCCCTTGGTCAAGAACCACTGTTGAAAATGCAATGGATACTTCTTCAAGAGACTTAATCAGAGGTATGACATAATCTGACTTAAATGTACAAAGCTCACCCTAGCTGATATGTGGAACATGTGCTGAATTTGGTATGCAGTGAAGCAAATCATATGAAGAGGTGGAATTAAAGGCCTTTATTAGTAGCTTGGTAAACCAAAGCAGTAAATGCAGCTTGCCACATGACTTTTTTAATGCAAAAAAAAAAAAAAAATTTAAAGTCTCAGACTCAAAAGGAAAAGCAAATGGAATGAGATTATCTTTGATCTTTGTACAAGACTCAAAGAATAGTTAAAGTTAGGTTGTGGGAAGAAAGATCAATTTTCATTCATTCCATTTGGGCACCTTTTTTGCACCTACAATCCTCCAATTTCAGCAGTGCTTTTTGTAGACAGATTTGTAAAATTTAAAAAAGCAAGATGGAGAATTATGGGTTAGATGATGGCATAGGGAAGTGGATTTATAGTTACTCAAGCAAGTTTCCACAAAGAACATTCATCCATTGGTTAAGATGCAAACTATCTAGAGTAGGGTAGCACATGACTTTCTTGACTTGGCTGTTCTGTGTAGCCATTGGGTAAAAAACATAGATGACAGCAAAGAAAATGCCTGATTTCAAAGGCACTGGAATGAACAGAGTCCCACCAAAACTCATGTCCACATGGAACCTCAAAATATGACCTTATTTGGAAATATAGTCTTTGCAAATGAAATTAGTTAAGACAGTATCATAATGGATTATGATAGGCCCTAATCCAATGAAGGCGCTCTGGTGGTATAGTAGATAAAGCATTTGGCTGCTAACCAGGAACTCAGTAGATCAAACCCACCAGCTATTCCACAGAATGAAGAAGGGACAATCTACTTCCATGAAGATTTAAAGCCTCAGAAAACAATGGGGGTCAGAATCGACTAAATGGCAATGAGTTTGGTTTTAGTTTTTGTGAATCCAATGAATGGTGTCTTTATAGGAGAAAAGAAAGAGTTTTAGACACAAACCTATCGACACACAGGGAAGAAAGCCATATAATAATGGAAGCAGAGATTGGAGTGATACAGCTATAAGCCAAAGAACACCAAGATACTGACAGCAAAACCAGAGGTTAAAGAAAAGGCACACACTGGATTATCCACTAGAGCCTTCAGAGCCTGCGGACACCTCAATTTCAGACTTTTAGGCTCTAGAGCTGTGAGACAATACACTTCTGTTGTCATAAACCATCTAATTTGTGGTAATTTGTTATGGCAGTCCTAGGAAACAAACACCACCAACCTCAGGGGTCGCCAAGGGCAGAATGATGGGAACAGGATGATAGACCAAAACTAGGAAGCCCAAATTTAATAGTAACATATTTAGGTTCCAAAACTCAATTCCTCAAGTACAGCCAGTAAGAGATTCACCTAACAGCATCTACGTGTGGAGAGAGCCAGGTAAAGGCAGAACATGGGGACCTACCATCAGCTCATGACAAGCCAAAAGCCCAATATGGCTAACAAAAATAAGGGAATAAAAAACAAACCTGAACTGGATAATGTAAACAGATTATTCAGACCCAACTAAAGGTTGGAGTTTCCAGTCTACTCAGAGGTACCTTGGGGAAAAAGTCTGGTGATGCACTTCTGAAAAATCAGACATTAAAATCCCTATGAAACACAGTTCTACTCTGACACACGTGAGGTTGCCAAATACTGAAGTCAACATCACAACAACTGGTTTACGTGGTATTCCACTAGACTCCCCTTGGCTGTACCACATTCTGGTCATTTTTACAGGGGCACCGGCACTCTGATCATGTCCAAAGGGTAATGATCAGAACTGGTTCTACAATCAAATGAATGACAGGAGGAATTTGGAAGTGTTGAGCCTTCAAAAGACTCAGCAGTTCAAACTGATGATGTCAAAGGCTAGCTATAAAGAACTGAACAGACCTAGATCAGAGAATGGAAGCTGAAGGAAGAGAGTTATTTTATAATCAGAGATGCCTCCCCAAAGAGGCTCTATGGCTCATAGTGAGCTGTTAGCAGAAAGTATTCAATTGGAGACTAAATTTAATATGAAGTATCTCAAGACCCTTTCTTGCCACTGCCTTCTAGGTGTCAGGCATTGGATAGCATTTGTGACACCAGGGGACAAGGAAGACCTCACCCTGTATCTATAGAGGACAGTGCTCCATGAAGGAAGGGGGCTGGAGCATACAACCATTAGTTTTCATCTAACACTAGGGTTCTTAGATTCAAACAACTAAGACAGGATGTGACTGAAACCGTGGTGGCAGATTTCCCCACCCCCGTGCCACGTCAACTGGCACACTCATTTTGCTGAGAGATAAAAATCAGTCTTTGGGTTTGAGAGGGAATAAAAAACCCTGTCACTTCTATTCTTGGCTTAGTGGATATGTCAGACTCTGGCCTCCAGGCTGCTTCTGGTCATAAAGTCATGGAAGAAAAGTCCTCCTCCGCTCTAAGTCCACAGTGGATGCTCTACTGTGACTTCACTTCCCTTTGGCACATCTTTGCACTTTCTGTGCATAGCTGTCTCCAAATTGTGCTTCTGCAATGCTTACAGTATGGGGTGATGTAACCTGCACAGGTGGCTTGTGAACCACGAACCACCAAGAGTTAAACTGTAGTAGAACATGTTGTTGTTGTTGTTGTTATGTGCTGTTGAGTCGGACCCAAGTCATAGTGACCCCTCCTTGTGTTTCCAAGGCAGTATCACTACAGAAGTAGATTGCCCAACCTTCCTTCTGAGGAGTGGCACAGAAGTAGAAAAAGTCAGCATTCCATCATTTCCCTGGCTGTCCTATTCAGCACTCTCCTAACAGAAGAGACACAAGCTACAAAGGTCAAGCACAACTGACCTAGATGTGTCGGTTTTTTATATTGAACAGGTATTATCTCACCACTGCCTGGATGGAACTAAATCCCTTAGCAAGAAGAATCAAACAAAAGCTTCAAATGCACCTACATTTCATTCTTCTTGCTGTGAGATTTAGTATCATCCAGGCAACGGCAAAACAAATATCTAATGAAAACAATATGTTGAATAGTGTCCCCCCCAAATTTATGTCTACCTGGAACAACAGAATACGACCAAATTTTGAAAAAGGGCCTTTGCAGATGTAATTACATTAAGATGAGATCATATTAGGTTTAGAGTAAGCCCTACATCCAATGGCTGGCATCCTTTTAAAAGGGTCATGTAGAAAGAAGTTAGAGAGTCAGGGTTTCCAACCAGCTCAGACTGCACTAGGAGTTATTGCAGGGCTGCAGGAAGATGGGTAGGGCATGGCAGTGACCAGCTCTTTAATAGGGGCAGAAAGGCTGGCTCTTGCAACCATAGGTCTTCAACTTCTGCAAAGATTCCCTCCTGAATGGAAGCAACAGAACATGTGCCTTGAAGAAGCTTTGCAGACTTAGATGATGGCCAGTATCAGCTTTGACTAGTGTGGACCAAAAGGCAGAGGTCTTTCCAAATGTTCTGCTCCAGGAAGACCTCTAGGACCGTCACATCATCTTAGAAGCCAGGGCAGGATAAACACAGTGGATTAGAATGGAATTTCCAACCAGCTCCAGAATCAGATTTAATTGGATTTAATTGGAAATAAGCTCAGAATCAGATTTAATTGGTTTTAGAACACTCAAGACTGGCATTTCTTGCTTACCTGAATTTATTGAATAAAATCCATGTGAAGGGTTTTTAGTGTTATTACACATTTCAGTATCTTTACACATGAACCCCTTGGCATATCTTTCTCACCCATGAACTAGAGAAGAAACCCCCAAAAGAGAATTTAAATGAGACAGACAGACAGAGACATTCATTGATTTACCATTCTTTGAAGCTAAACCAGTTTCCTTCACACTATTCACATAGAGTCTTCGAACACCATCTTCTTCCACAGAGGAAAGTGAAAATCCTATAAAACACAAGACAGAATGGTAGAGCTTACAGCTTCTGAGTGTGCAGCAAATAACAGGAAGTACCTGCTGTGAACTAGACATGTTTCATGTTTTTGGTTATACTTTGAAGCGATTGTTTTTCCATGTACATATTGTCTTACAAAGCAGAAAAATTTATTTTTAGATCACTCTAAAAGACATTACTACTTGTAAAAACAAACATTGCATATATCTACTTCATAATACCTCTTAATTCAAATGAAAGAAAATTATTTTGTTTTATCCTGCTCCCTAGTAAATGTCATAGTTTCACTCCTACAATCTTCTACATAGCACAAGGAAGAAAGATGGGTGATCTAGACTTTTTCCAGCCAATCTATGTCCTATGAAATGTTAACACTGTACGGTGTGTGTATTGGTACATGGATATTGTTTTAATTTTTTAAGAAAACCTACAACCAGAGGTAAGTAGCTCCTCACATTACCAATGCTATTTCACTGAAACTGATTAATTAGTTTCAGCTCTACTAATGTATGATCATAAGATTATCCTACACTTATTGGGGATGCAGAGTTCAAAAGCCATGATTCAGCAAGGAGTGCAGAGCAAGACCCAGAGGTATTATTAAATGGTTAAGGGAACAAGAATGTTTCCAGCCGATGGCTACAAGCCCTGTCACCTCTGTTTCTAGATAGTTTCATGGAACAGTCTTCCTAGTCATCAACAGAATGTCTTCACCAATACTTCCTCTTTCCTGCTGGACAACAGTACCTCAGCAGATAAAAGCAATGGGAATGAATGCAACTGTAAAGATTTGGCATTGTTTCAGCTCTGGTAAAAAAAAAAAAAAAAACACCATAATACAGACATTTCTCTTAATGCTAATGGCAGAAGAATCCATGTGATTAAAAAGAAGAAAGAAGCAAAAAATAAAAAACAAAATATTTAATAACAGGACTGGGTTACAGGGAGTCACTGAGACTTTTCAGGCCATGTCACAATGAACATATATTTTTATTAGTGGTGGTGGTTAGTTCACAGGACCAGGAAATGGATAACCACACAAAGGCAAAACTGCCAACTGCCTGACCCACTATATGCCTTTACTCCCTGAGATGGGGAGAAGCTCAGGCTGCCCTGTGGAGTTTCTAAGTCTTTATTTATAAGAATCATTTAAGTGACATTAGCCTTAACATAGGTGGATTTATCAATATTTCATCAGAGACCTTTTTTTTTTTTTTTCTTTTATCTGTTATAGAAAGACACAGAGTCAAGGGCTATGTCAATGAGAAAGGATGGCCAGGAGTTACCAAAATATAGGCATTTCCTTTCTGAAATGCTACCACCCTTTAACATTCTGTGCTTGACTTAAAGGTGCAGCAGAGACAGTGTGTAGAGAGCCCTCTACAAGTTATCAAATGGAAATGGCTCCATTCGCCTCCTCTTTTCCGTTCTTTTTTTTTAATTGTGATTTGGGTGAAAGTTTACAGAACAAATTCACTTTCCATACAGCAGTTCACAACACGTTGTCTCATGACATTGACTACAATTTACCCCAATGCAACAGCTCCCTCCACTTCCTCCCCATAGTTACCTCTTCCCTGTGTCCGTCCATCCATGCACCCCTGCCCCCTGAGCTGTCTCCCTGTGCATTAACAGCCTTTCTTTCTCCCATGATTGTTCCCTCCAAGGAGTGTTATCTACCTCAGGTACATGTTCAACTCATATGCCTGTCTTTTGTTTGGCTGGAAGCCACAGGTGTGGGTTCAATTCCAGAGCGGAAGGGCAGCTAGGGATGATAGTCTCAGTAGTTCCACAAGAATCTATCAGACCAGCACACCTGGTCCCCCCCCCCTTTTTTTTTTTCCAAATGATTTTGAGTTTTGTTCCACATTGTTCTCCATCTCTATCCAGGATCGCCTATATAGATTCCCTTCCAAGTGGTTGACAATGGTAGCCAGGCACCATCTAGTTCTTCTGGCCTCATAGTCATATAGGCTGAGGATCGTATGGTGTACCAGATGCTAGAACCAATTGTCTCCATCAGTCTTTGGTTTTCTTCATTCTTCTTTGCTCTGGATGAGGAGAAACCCATCATTGCATCTAGATGGCTTCTTGCAAGCTTTTAAGATCCCAGTTGCTACTCACCAAAGTAGGAGGTAGAACAATGTTTTGTGTAGTATGTTATGCCAATTGAGCTTGATGTCCCCTGGGACTATGGCCCCAAGCCCTCAGGTTCAACTACTTAGTCCCTCTCAGTAGCTGGCTGTGACCAAGAAGTGACTACAACCTTGTCCCTTGTCAGTTCCACTATACTCCCTCCTGGGAATTCTTACAGAACATACAAATACATTGTAGAACCATTGTCTGCCAACCCTATACATGGTCTTGCGTATACTCTCTGCTCCACAGGCATAACTAATAGTTCAGCCTGTCCACCCATCTATCCACCTGTATAACCATGTGTGCCTTCACTGACAACACAATACTGTATGTGCAAAAGGGTTCATCTTTGTTGTATGTACCTCCCATGTACCTCTCTTTGGTACACTGCCCTTCTCTTCACCCAAATCGATACTTATCTCTATCTATCTAACCGTGTTCCCTCCCCTCCCCTCCCACCTCTGGTAACCAACAAAGAAAATTTCTTTCCACATATAAACCATTCCTTGACTTTTACAATAATGTACTAATACAATATTTTTCCTTCTGTGATTGACTTATTTCACTCAGCATAATGTCCTCCAAGTTCATCCATGTTATGCGGTGTTTTGCAGATTGTACGTTATTCTTTAGGGTTGCATAGTATTCCTTTGTGTGTATGTACCATAGTTTGGTTATCCATTCCTCAGTTGATGTACACCTCGGTTGTTTCCATCTTTTGGCTATTGTAAATAATGCAGTGATGAACATGAGTATGCATATGTCTGTTCTTGTCATGGCTCTCACTTCTTTAGAATATATACCTAGTAATGGAATGGCTAGATCAAATGGTATTTCTATAAGTTTTTAAGGAATTGCCATACTTCTTTCCACAGTGGTTGTACTATTTTACAGTCCCACCAGCAGTGTATGAGAGTCCCAATCTCTCCACATCCTCACCAGCATTTGTTACTTTCTGTCTTGTTGAACTTTGCTGCTAGTGCTGGGGCAAGATGGTATCTCATTGTTGTTTTGATTTACACCTCTCTAATGGGAGCTCTGGTGGCATAGTGCCTAAGGCACTTGACTGCTAACCAGAAGGCTGGCGGTTCAAACCCATCAGCCACTCCTCAGAAGGAAGGATGGGCAATCTACTTCTGTAGTGGTACTGCCTCGGAAATCCAAGGAGGGGTCATTATAAGTCAGGTCCCACTCAATGGCACATAACAACAACAACAATGGCTAATGATCGTGAGCATTTTTTCATATGTTTGTTGGCCGCCTGAACATCCTCCTTGGTGAAATGTCTATTCATGTCTTCTGCCCATTTTTTAATTGGATTCTTTGTCTTTTTGTTATTGAGGTGTTGGTTTCTTTTTCATTTTTATTGCTCCTTCTTAATAATCAAAAATGAATGAAAAAATACATGTTGGAAAGGATGTGGAGAAATTGGACCCATCATCTACTACTGGTGGGTATATAAAACGGTGTAAGCCATTGTGGAAAATAGTTTGGCAGTTCCTAAAAAACAAAAAATGAAACAGAAATTACCATATGACCCAGCAATTCCACTCTCAGGTATATCCCAAGAAAACTTAAAGGCAGGGACTCAAATATATACTTGTACACTAATGTTCACTGCAAGCACTATTTACAATAGCCAAAAGGTGAAAACAATCCAAATGTCCAACAAATGAATGGATATTCAAAATGTTGTACAGACATACAATGAAATATTACTCAATCATCAAGAGAAATGAAGTTCTGGTATGTGTGATAATATGGATGAACCTTGAAAACATTCTGCTCAGTGAAATAAATCAGACTTAAGAGAACAAATACTATATGACTGCACTTACATAAAATACCTCAGTCAGGAAATACACAATGACAAAAGCTTATCAGTGATTAAAAGGGTATGCGATAGGGTAGTGGGAAGTTATACTGCTACTTTATTTTTTTGGAAACAAAAGAGAAAGAAAGAAGTGAAAAGAGGAGGGAGGCATTCAATCTAATAACTGTAACTGATTGTGAAATTTGCACTGGGAAACTGGGTACAAGGTATGAGTCTGATAAGCAGATCAGACTTCTCAACTGCTTAGGGAAATCTCCATGATTGGAAAGAAAGAAGACTGATGAAAGGATAACGGCAATAGGCTCCTTTCAGAAGACCACTCAAACGGAAGCCAAAAAATGGCAAAGTGTAAAAGGCACTTTACTTATGCACTAGAAATACCACTTCAGAACACCCATTCAGAGGTCATGGAGACACTAGCTCCTGCCAGTGGCTAAGTGACAGGTCTCCCCACACTCTGCTGTGTACTATTGTGGGGTCTAAGAGTCCCCAAGGGGCAGCTTCCATTTCAAGCTGACAAATAATTTGCACTCTGAGGAAGAAAAAAAAACTATAAACATGTCCTACTTTAACAAAGAAAACACCCTGTAGCTGGATTTTTTTGAGGTAAATGAAGAACACAATGATTTTCACAATTCATCCACCAAGTCATTTTTTCTCCTTTTAAATAGGGAAAGCAATATTCTAACTCCCAACAAACAAATCTCATACAGCTCAAAATTACCACCAGCAAGGGACAGAGGGAAATTATTTGATATAAATCCAATGTATCCAGTCAATCAGAAGGCTTTTAGTTACAAAGACTGGAAAGCATCAGGAGTTATCAACTGGAAAAATGATCATGAGAATGGAAGAAGTGAGAAAAACTAAGTGAAGAAACCAAGACCAAACTCATATGATAAACAATCAAAAATCCCTCATACATTAATAGTCAAAAAGAAATCATGAGAACAAGAAATACAGGGCCCAGCAAACAGTGAAAACTCAGAACATGGAACTAGCTCATACAGCTATAACATAAAGGGGACATATGACCAAAGATGTAATCGTTTAAGAAGTACCCAGAGAAAAATGAATGCTCACTAAAACAAATTTACTGCAATAGTGCATTCTTCCACTCTGAGGCAGCCTAAGGGATCACGATTAGAGATCATGTAACTATTGGACTTAATTTTGATAGTAAATTCTAAGACCTACTGTGCTGAAGTAAGTAGAGGGGCAGCATTAGAAAACAAAAGAATTAAACATGTGTTAGTTAATCTTTAAATCTGTTTAAGTTGGAAATTGAAATCATTTTTCCTCCTTTAAATGTTTTAAAATAAAAGACAGCATTGGGTTTGCACAACTCTGTGAGTGTGTGTATGTGTGCATGTACACTTGTATTTGTACTCTGTGCCAATAACATGAACATATACTGAACTCTACATATGCCAGGAAGCCACATTTAGAAAAGTGCTAGCGTTAGGCATGTTGTTGTTGCTGTTGTTGTAGTTAGGGGCCATGTTAGAAGTTGATTTCAACCCATAGGGACCTCATGTGACAGTAGAACTGCTCCACAGGGTTTTCTAGACTGTAATCTTTACAGGAAAGGAGCTCTGGTGGCATAGTGAGTAAGGCATTTGGCTACTAACCAGAAGGTCCATAGTTGAAACCTACCAGTTCCTCCACAGGAGAAAGATGAGGCAACCCACTTCCGTGAAGATGTACAGCCCTGGCAATCCAGTGGGGGTCACCACAAGTTGGAATCAACTTGAGGGCTGTGTGTGGGGTGTTTTGTGGGGGGGAAGGGGGAGACCTTTACAGGCGCAGATCACCAAATCTTTCTCCTACTGAGCCACTGGGTAAGTTTGAACTGCCAACCTTTGGGTTAGTACAAGTGCTTAACCAATGCACCTTAGTATTAGCTATTAATAGGCTAAATTTATAATCCTTGGTAGTTTTTGAGGTCAGAGGCAACCAGGTCTCCTAGGATTGGGAGGCTTCTCAGCCTCCTTGATCAATGTGTTATTTAAACACCTTATGCCGACATGAACCCAGGCACTGAGAAGAAACGGTTTAACTTAGGTGATTAGTGGTGCATAGCAGGGCTTTCCAAAGTGGAGTCCAGGGACTGGTACAAACCGTGTAACTGGAATAATGTAAGGCCAGACATCAAGCTTATACACTGAGGACCTTGTATAGCAACATGACATTGCTATAATGTCCAAACATGGAATTTTGTATTTTCAGAAGAAAGCAGTGGTGGTTCTCAACAGAATGGAAATAAAAATCAAAAACAAAAAAATATCTTCTCCCTTATCTCAGAACATTTGAGAAGAACTGCTTACAATAGGTTGAGGCTTACTACCCCATTACACCCTCAGTGTGCAAATGTAAATGGCTTCTGTAAGCAATTCAATTACTGTAATAAAGAGTACAGTGATATTTTACCCAGTTGCTATTTCTGAGTCCAAAACCCACTCACTCTTAGAACTGGATTCCAAGAGCTTTAAGATTCAGCCTTCTCTTGCTACAAGCTACCATAAGTAGATACCCAGTTGCTGTCAAGTCAGCTCTGACCCACAGGCAACGCCATGTGTGTCAGAGTAGGACTGTGCTCCATAGCATAATCAATGGTTGATTTTCTGGAAGCAGGTTGCTAGGCCTTTCTGCCAAGATGTCTCTGGATGGACTCGAACTACCACCTTTGGGTTAATATCTGAGTGAGTTAACCATTTGTACCACCCAGGAACTGCTATTACTAATTTTTTTTTTTTTTTTTTGGTATCCCCTACTGCCATTCATCACATTCCTGGTCCCTTTTCAATGTCCAGGTCTTGAGTCAATTATTAACCTAACCTAATCCACTACCATCAAGTTTATTCTGACTCATAGCAATACTACAGGACAGAGTAGAACCCCTCCTTAGGGTTTCCAAGGCGGTAAATCTTAATAGAAATTAAGTCATAAAGATAAAAGAGGAATCATCCTGGAATTTCTTACTTTGGAAGATCCAGGCTCTTATTTATACTACTGATACCAATTAGGGTTTTAATTACTAATGTCATGCTTCTGCTGCAGAATAAGCCTTTCATAAACATTTATCCCTAGTCATCAAAAACAGCCTTCTGGCTTTATGATATGTTTAGTTTTAAGGTCAAGAAATAAACAGCATGAAAGTGGAGTGCAACCAGCTAGGGGTTCAAAATTAGGTCCTCTTCTTTAGACCACAATACTCTAATGAGCATCATGAGATGAAGATTGGTTGCCTGTGGGAGAGATTGCAGGAGGAATATAATACCCCCCTGCTCCATAAGGGTTTGAAGAATTTCAAAGGCTAAAAAGCTAAATAACTTCATTCAGAGAAATCTTACGTAAGCATATGTAATGCCCTCTATGTCTTTTCAGCAGATACATTTGGCACAAAATAGGGCTATACTTCTCTGTCTCTGTGAATAGGTGTGGCCATGGGACTTGCTCTGATCAATGAATTGGAAGTGGGCTAGCACCTGATCTGCAATATTCTCTTTTCTCCTCTGCAACCAACACACGGTGCTTCAGGTGGCACACCTGGGTTATACAGTGAGAACAGACAGAAAGATCTCCAGGAAACGCACTGTCTTAGTTTCCTAGTGCTAGTGTAACAGAAACCACAAGTAGGTGGTTTAATGAACAGAAACATATTTTCTCACACAATTCAAGAGGCTAAAAGTCTGAATTCATGGCCCTGGCTCTAGGAAAAGGCTGTTTGCTCTAGGGGAAGATCCTTGTCTCAGCTTCTCCAGCCCAGTGTTCCTCTAACCCTTGGTGATCTCCACATGGCATCTATCTTCCCTCATTTGTGTTTGCTTGTCTCTGTGCCTAATGTGTTCTTGTTGTATCTCAAAGTTAGCTTTAGGACACAAAGAGAATCCTATTTCAAAATGGGATTACATCTACAAGTACAGGGGTTAGGATTCCAACACCTAATTTTTGAGGGACACAATTCAATCCATAATACCCACAAGCGATGCACTGCAAGTGTGAGAAATAAATTTTATTGTTTTGAGCCACTGTGCTTTGGGACCCTTTGTTATCTCAGCTTAACCTCTTATCTCCTGACTGGTAGAGCACAATATGGATTCCCCTACTTATTTTACTTAGCCACCAATTCTATCACTGTTCAAGTCATTCAGTGTAATGCTAAATAAAGAAGATCCATTTTCTACATATGAAAATGATTATAGATTTAATTGTGCTAGAATGTGGATACCTGTGTTAAATAGCCTGAGCATAGCAGGCCTCACTGCTCCCCTTTAGAGTCTTGCTTATAAGATTGGCTCTTGGCTGTCATGTGGGAATCTAGAGTTTGGGAGGGTTCCCACCACTAACTGATAAAGGTAGTTTACTGTGCCTAAACTATACAAACACCGTGGTTTATAAAGAACACTTACTTTTCTTCTGAGAGTCTGGAATTTTGGTACATGCTAGGTGGTGGGTGACTAAGTGACCAGCTTCCAATAAAAACCCTGGACCATCTAGTCTCCAACAAGCTTCTCCCATAAACAAGATCTCCCATGTGTTGTCACAACTCATTGCTGGAGGAATGAAGTATGTTCTGTGTGACTCCACTAGAAGAGGATTCTTGGAGGTGTTTCCTCTGCATTTTACCACGCACCTTCTCCCTTTAGTGATTTTGGTTTGTATCCTTTTGCTGTAATAAACTATAGCCATGAGGGTGACTGTATGCAGACTCCTATAAACCCTCCCAGTGAGTCAGAATCTACTCGATGGCAATGTTAGGGTATTTGGTTTCTTTGGGGGGGGCGGTGAGTCCTCCTTATGAATCAGCCAATCTGGGGGTAATCGTGTGTACCCTAGACACAATGCCAAAATGAGTTCCTTTTAGCATTACTGAGTTGGGGGGATAATGCATATGTTTTGGGGAGAGAGGTGTGAAAGAATAATTGCTTCCTTACTAAGGTATAAAACAGTCTAAAACGATCTACTCCCAATTTATCGACTTCCTGTCTATTATAGTAAAGTACCAATAATTAAAGTTATGAAATTTAAAGCCAAACTCTCATTATACCAAAGGCAAATACCTCTTTTTTCCTAATTTGGCTGCTCTGCAGGGCACAGAAGCCAGATGTGTTATCTGTTTTAAATAGGCTCCAGAGGCATTTTATTGAATTGTAAATAAGTACATGTTTGCACAGGAATTGCTTTGACTTGAAACACAAACACCAAAGAGAGAAGAAAAATAAACATACCATAATTATCAGCCACGGTATCTGACTTCTCAATGTGGATGTTCTGTGTGACTTTTGGACAAATTTCAATTTCTTTGTACAGCTGAAAATAACAAAGAGGAGTCTAATCAGGATTTCATTATAAATAGGATAATAGTAATGGTCATCATTTTGAAAATCTATTTTTTCACAACTTGAATGAATTTTCTTGACATCTCAATCTTTTTATTTAACTGAATTCATTAAAAGTCAAAACAGAAGCTTTATCATTCACATTCCCAAAATTAGGTACACTTGTTTGAAAAACAATTCCTCAACATCATTTTGTATGTTTTTTCCCACCTTATCTGGATCCCAAACGTGAAAAATGATGCTAAAGTAAGTGAAAACCTCCATAACTGGGCAAAAAATAAAATACTAAAATCAAGAAGAGATGATAAAGAATTTGGCATGGGATTCTTGGAAATAGGCAAAATCTCTGGGTTTCACTCTTTCTGTTCACATCCCAAAAAGTTCATGTTAGTGCGAAAACCAAAAACCAAACCCACTGCCATCGAGTCGATTCCAACTCATTGCAAACCCCCTTGGGTTTCAGAAGCAACAAATCTTTACAGAAGTGGATTGCCCCATCTTGCTTCCTCAGAGTGGCTGGTGGGTTTGAACCACCAACCTTCTGGTTAGCAGTTAAATGCCTTTGGTATTGTGCCACCAGAGCTCATTGTTAATGCAAATAGATAGAGACAAATTATAGCACTGAATTAGACAAGTCATGTGGATGGAGAATATTCTCTCTCAGCCACTGGATTATACCAAATTAGCTGTTGTCACTGTTATGTGCCATCAAGTCGGACCCAACTAACAGTGACCCCTCCTTGGGTTTCCCAGGCTGTATCACTACAAATGTAGATTGCCAAACCTTCCTTCGGAGGAGTGACTGGTAGGTTTGGAACACCAGCCTTCTAACCAACCAACCTTCTAGAAACCCAAGAAAGCCTGGAAAAGCCAAGATAATAGGTCAATGTGTAGTTCACATGTAAGAAACTTTATTATTTAAATTAATGTAATTGAATTTCACTTTCAAACATCTGGACATATCACTGTCATGACAAAAATTTATCAAGTTTTTACCATGTGGCCTTGTCCCTCAGACTAAGCACTAACCTCCCATGACCTCTACTTCACAAATGAAGAGAGTAAGGCTAGACAGAATGAACTTCGGTATGGTCATAAAGCCAGAATGGGCAGAGCTGGGACTTCTCTGGGTCTCAGGGCTCCAGAGTCATACCCTCAACCATGGTATAATACTTCCCACATCACCTCCTGGTGGAAGTCAAACCTGTTGTCTTTGAGTGGATTCTGACCCATGATGGCACCACATATTACAATGTAAATCTGTGCTCCATAGAGTTTTCTTGGCTATAATCTTTTAGGAAAGCCAAGACATTTGTTCCATGGTGCCACTGGGTAGAATGAAACTCTCAACCTTTAGGTCAATACAGTCAACGGCAAACCATTTGCACCACGCAGGGACCTTTGCTAGCACTCAAAACCCAAAAACCAAACTCACTGCTGTCGAGTTGGATCCGACTCATAGCGATTCCTTCTTGAGTTTCTGAGGCAGTTCACTACGAGAGTAAATTGCCCAATCTTCCTTCCGAGGAATGGCTGGTGGGTTTGAACCGTCGGACTTCTGGTTAGCAGTCAAATGCCTTAGGCACTATGCCACCAGAGCTCCTGCACTCAGAGGTACCAAAATAAAGGGAACCAACTTCTTAGTTAAGTAAGGTAGAGGCTATTTCTAAAATGTATGGTAAAAAATAAAAAAATAAACCTCAACACAAATGTGTCAAAAGCTAACTTTACTTTTTTGGTGCATTTGGAGGGGTGGAAGAGGTGAGCATAACTGTTAAAGATGAAGGAGCCTGGAAAACAGATGGCTGTAAGAATGCCAGAGGGGTAGGATGGGTGGACGTGTGTGTGTGTGTGTGCGCGCGCGTGTGCACGCGCACAGGTAGGAATATTAGCCATGGAACCAGGATCCTCTAGGATACCCAACGGAAATGTCCCTTCCACCAAACACAGTATGTTAAGGGCATAACTGAATGTTGTTTTATTTTTATACTTCAGAAAATTTTCATACAAATACATTCCCAAATTAGAAGAAATCAGTTATAATGACTTATTCAGAATATATGGCCACCAACATTTCAAGTAACAAACACAATAAAGCTTATGATATGCTTCCTAATGCCACAGAATGCTCAAAAAAAAATTTATTGTATGTGTTCACTTCAACTTTGAGCTTTACTTTTATTTTGCAAACGTCCCTGCGAGTCAACCTCTTCCCCCAGGTGGCAGTATATCACTGTTTGTTCTAATCATGTCCCCAGAGTTCCAAATGGTTTTCCAAAGATCCAGTGGGATAGGCTTTGCTAATACAACTTCTTTCTTTTCTCTGTAATTTGTGTAACACTCTTCATGTCTCTTACCAGTTTCAGACCATAACTTGTTATACAGACAGATGCCTTGCTACAAAGTCCTTTCTCAGTCTGGTTAGACCAAAGCTGAGTTTAATAAAAAGCACTAATACAAATCTTGAAAATTTCAAATAAGGTCTCTGTCTTAAAACAAGTTTTTTTTTTTTTAAATATCTTATTGGGTTTTTGATGAAAGTTTAACAGCAAACTAGGTTCCCATTTGACAATTTGTACACAAGTTGTTGAAAGACATTAGTTCCAATTCTCACAATGTGTCAACATCCTCTTTAGCAGCATTCTAGTTGTTAAGATACACTTTTAACGCAACTACGATATCTAAAACTAGAAACTTTGAAATTTAGCAGCTTTATGTATAAATATCTTTAACAATGAAGTGTAACATACATTTTCTCATTATTTTATTAAATCCATGACATAGCTTGTTTCCTCCACTTCCAGACAACAGATTAGATGATCAGACTTTAAGAAATAATTTGCTTACCCAGGGACTTGAGTTATCACAAAACTGCAACTATTCCTTACCATGTCTCTTTTTACTGACCTACTCCAAGCCACTAACACTCTTGCCTCACTAGCCTCACACTTGTTCTCCCTGTTTCTTTGCATATGCCCCATGGTCCACTGCCTACACAGCAGCAGGAATGAGCCTTAAAAACAAGTTAGATAACGTCCTTCCTCTCTCAGAGTTTCTCATGTAAGTCAGAATAAAACGAAACATGCTAGCATGTCCTCCAAACACCTACATGCCCAGGCCCTCATCCCCTGTACCTTCCTCCTTACTTACCATCCCCACTGATCTTCCTTATCATCCCACGAGAGCACCCCCACTTGTACACTCACTCTGCACCAGGACTCATCCAGCATTGTACCCTTACCCTAAGAGATGGTTACTTTTATGTGTCAGCTTGACTACAGTACCATCACCGTCTGTCAGGTTTGTCTCACTGTACTTGCATGTTGCTATGATGCTGGAAGATAAGGCACTGGTATTTCAAATACCAACACAGTCACCCATGATGGACAGATTTCAGTGGAACTTCTAGAGTAAGACAGACCAGGAAAAAAGAACTGGTAATCTACTTCCAAAAATTGTTATTGTTGTTCGATGCCATGGAGACAGCTCTGACTCATAGGGACCCTATATATAACAGAATGAAACACTGCCCAGTCCTGTGCCATCTTCACAATTTCGGCTATGCTTGAGCCCATTGTTGCAGCCATTTGTCAATCCGTCTCATTTAGGGTCTTCCCCTTTTATGCCGACCCTCTACTTTAGCAAGCATGATATCCTTCTCCAGGGACTGGTCCTTTCTAACAACATCTGGCCATTCCTCCTTCTAAGAAGCATTCAGCTGTACTTTTTCCAAAACAGATTTGTTCGTTCTTCTGGCAGTCATGGTATTTTGAGTATTCTTCTCAACCATCACAATTCAAATGTATCAATTCTTCTTTAATCTTTCTTATTCTTTGTCCAGCTTTCACATGCATATGAGGCTATTAAAAAGACCATGGCTTGGGTCAGGTACACCTTAGTCTGAAAATTAGTCAATGAAAACCCCATATATGACACAAAATAATGTCCAATAGTTAATACTGAAACATGAGCCTCCTATGTTGGAAGGCATTCAAAATACACAGTGGCTGCCACAATTGGACTTAAGAATAACAATTATCTTTAAGTTAGTGCAGGATGGGAAATTGTTTCTGTTGTACATAGGGTTGCCATGCATCAGAGTCCACTTGATGGCAACTAACAAAGAAACTGGCATCAAGTGGTTTCTGACTCATAGAGACCCTATAGGACAGAGTAGAACTGCCCCATAGGATTTCTGAAGCTATAAATCTTTATGAAAGCAGACAGCCTCACCTTTCTCCCGGAGAGCAGCAGGTGAATTCAAATTGCTGACCTTCTGGTTAGCAGCCAAATGCTTTAACCACTCCCCCACCAGAGCTCCTTAACAACAATGTACCAAAAAACCAAACTCACTGCTGTTGAGTCAATTTTGACTCACAGCGACCCCTCCTTGAGTTTCTAAGGCAGTATCTCTATCCAGCCACTCCTCAGAAGGAAGGTTGTGCAATCTACTTTTGTAGTGATACCGCCTTGGTAACCCAAGGAGGGGTTGCTTTGAGTCGGATCCAACTCGACAGCATTGAGTTTATGTCTATGCAAGTAGATTGCCCAATCTTCCTTCTGAGAAGTGGCTGGTGGAAACCACCAGCCTTCTGGTTAGCAGTCAAATGCCTTAGGTACTATGCCACCGGAGCTCCCAACAACAATACACAATTAATGAAACACTAACATAGGTGGTATTGTAAAGGTATTTTGTAGAAGCGATTAACATCTACAATTAGATTGCATTAAGTAAAGCAGATTACCCTAAAAATCAGTTGGATTTCAAGAGCAAAGACAGAGCTTTCCTGAAGAAAAAATTCTGCAGCAGTAACTCCTGCCTAAATTTCTATCTCGCTGGCCTGAGCTATGGATTTTGGACTTGTCAGCGCCAACAATCACATGAGTCAATTACTTGAAATAAATCTCTTTATATATCTCTGTACCTACCTACCTACCTATCCATGTATGTTGTTGTTGTTGTTGTTGTTG